CTGATGCTGTGGAACCAAGAAGCAGAACAGCCCTGCATAGCGCCTCGGAAAAATGGGGAACCTGTGTACCTACAACTCACCTCTCTAATGGGTCTTCTGGTACAGAATCAGGGCCACGTGCTGGCCAGGAACCTCACAGACAAAAGGGCAGGCTTGCAGCATGCAAGATCAGTGAAATCTAGTGAAGAATTCTTAACAGAATCATTTTTTTCTTCTTTATTTTGAGATGGGTTTCTCTATGCAGCTGACCCTGCACTGTAGACCAGGCTGGCCTCAAATTCACAGAGATCCTCCTGCCTCTACCTCCTGAGTGCTGAGAGGGATTAAAGGCATGCACTGCCAACCCTGGATAGCATAATCAGTTTTTATATGTACAAAATTTTTCTCCCATGATTCTAACAGGTCAAATCAGTGTATTCCTCAGCCATGAGTTTTATTAGAGACTGTACCCCTTTATCTAAATGTTACTGTGTGTAATTGAGTATTTTCTAATCAAGTTTATTAATTTATCATTCATAACAAAGGTTCTCAATCTTCCTAATGCTGAGATCCTTTAATACAGTTACACATTTTGACATAACCCCCAATCATAAAATTATTTTGTTGCGATTTCATAGGTATAATTCTGCTATTGTTATGATTTGTAATGTAAATAACTGATATGTAGGATATCCGGGATGTGATCCCAAAGAAATTGTGACCCACAGATTCAGAACAATTACTTTATAATATCAATTTGTTTATGTTCTCCCTTCTTCTGCTCCTCATTTGGACCTCATTTCTGCTCCTCAGTGCTCCCATGTGGGTCTCTGTCTCTATCTCCATACATCGCCAGATGAAGGTTCTATGGTGATATGGAAGATATTCATTAGTGTGGCTATGGGACAAGGCCAGTTCAGGCACCCTCTTCTCTGCTGCCCAAGGAACAATCTGGGAACCTCTCTTTGGACCTGGGAACCCCTCTAGAGAGAAGTCTCTAGCAAACCCTAAAATGGCTCCCTTAATTAAGATATTTACTACTCTGCTCCCGTATCCACTTATCCTCCATCCCAACCATCCCATTCCCCCAATCTCTCCCGAATCTCCCCCTTCTCTCTTCTCTCTACCCATCTCCCATTGCATCCACCCCCCACCCTCGAGCACCCAACTTTTGTCTGGCAATCTTGTCTACTTCCAATATTCAGGAGGATAACTATATGATTTTCTTTGGGTTCACCTTCTTATTTAGCTTCTCTAGGATCACTAATTATAGGCTCAATGTCCTTTCATTACGGCTAGGAAATCAGGACAATGAGTGGTGCGTTCACCCACTGAGATTGTGGGACTGATCTAATGGGAGCTCACCAAGGCCAGCTGGACTGGGAGTGATTGTTGTATAATGGATTGGCGGGCGGGCGCCCAGCTAGCTTTCCCCGAAATAATTACACAGAAACTGTATTCATTTAAACACTGCCTGGTCCATTATCTGTAGCATTTTATTGGCTAACTGTCTCATATCTATTCAACCCATTTCTAATAATCTGTATCTCACCACGAGGTTGTGGCTTACCAAGAAATATTCAGCATGTCTGACCTGGTGGCTAGTTGCATGGCGTCTGCCTCATTGCCTTCTTCCTCCCAGCATTCTATTCTGTCTACTCTGCCTATCTAAGCTGCTGTCCTATCAAAAGTCAAGGCAGTTTCTTTATTAACCAATGAAAGTAACACATAGACTTAGCCCTCCTCCATTAAGTGATGGAGCATGTGATCAAACTGGACACTCCGAATGTGGTTGGCAATGAAGGCTGACTGAGAAGCCAAGGACAATGACACTGTGTTTTGATTCTACTGCATGGACTGACTCTGTGGGAGCCTGTTTTGTTTGGATGCTCAAATATATAGACCCGGATGGAGGAAGGAGGACCTTGGACTTCCCACAGGGCAGGGAACCCTGACTGCTCTTAGGACTAGAGAGGGAGGGGGAGGTGGGGAGGGGAAGGGAAAAGGGAGGTGGGGAAGAGGTAGAAATTTTTAATAAATAAATAAATAAATAAAAATGATGAAATTAGGCTGTAAAATATAAAAAATAATATCAATTTGTCATTCATAACTTCTTCTACATTAGGGTAACAATCATAAAAGTATACGAAATGAATAGCACAATGCCAAGTCACATGTAACAATCTTACAAAATTGAAAAGAATGTAATTTTAGAATAGAAGGTGGGAATTTCAATTCTTACATCAATAATAAAACATCTATTAATGTTGTGGGAGTATCTTCTGCTGCCTCAGCCTAGTCGCTGGAGCAGGAGCCGGGAGCAGGAGACAGGACCAAGCGCCGGAACCAAGAGGGTCTGATCCGGATCTGTGTCTCTTTTTAAAAGAGAAATATACCATGCCCCAGTGGGCTGGTATTTCAGCGGCTATTGGCTGACGGAGCGGAAGTCGCTCCCCGCTGCACTGTGGGTTCGTGCTTCAGCATATTAAGAAGATCAGCAAAGGAGCAGACAAACCAAACTACATTATTAACCAAGCAGACCTAAGAGGTAGGTGTATACAAGAGTACACTCACTGACAGCATGATACACAGATATAGATATAGATATAGATATATAGATATATGGTGTTTGAATGAGAATGGCCCCATAGGTCAAATTGGATGTCTGCACGTAGGGAAATCAAAATAGGAAATCACTGGTCCACAGCAGTTGTAGATTGACTACTAGGTGCCTGCAGAAGTGAGGCACTTTGGGGGAACCCAGGCCCTCCTGGTGATGGGGGAGATGAAGGGAAGATCCAGCAAGGGAGGACTATCACTGAGGTTACTGCCACAGGAGATGATGCCCTACCTGTCTGCCTTGGCTACCTTGATAACCAGGTCTCCCCCTGGTTACTGGATTCCATTTACAGGGATCTGAATATTGTTAAGGTCTTAATAATACTGGAATATTATTTTATGCTGGTCTACTTTTCTAAAAAGCCCCGTCTGGAGTTGACTTATGACTCTAGACCTAATCATGCTTTAAAAGATGAACAAAATTCCTCTCCATCTGGTGTTAGGTGATCCTCCTGACTTTATGACAAGGAAAGGGAGGAAAAGCAGAACAGTCAAGAAACTGAGCTATTGGCTTCATTCAACTCCTTAAGATTCTGCAACTGCAAGACATACATGTTACAATTAGACCCTGTCTACTTGCAGTACAATACATTGTAATCTTGTATTTTTGACTCTATAAGCCTTGGATCACTCTGTCCAGGGACCAAATCTAGGGAGAGCTCTCAGTTTAAGTCCTGGAGTCATGAGCATACAACACTATTATTTATTTGATCAAGCCTCTTCTTATTAAAATTGATTCATGGTCATGGTGAATCTCTGAGTGATCCCAGACCCACAACATTGTGTTCAATTTTAACGTGTTAGCTTCTATTTTCCTTATTATATTTTCTTTTATTATTACTCCTTAGAAGACTGTATGTTTGTATACATTCTACATATAATATATGATATATGCAATTGCTTTATTGATTCTTTGGGAATTTCACAACATGCATCCCAATTCTGCTCATTTCCCAGTCCCTCTATATCCTCACTTTTCCCCTGTGGTGTCCCTCCCAGAAAAGAAAATTTAAAAAAACACCAAACCAAACAACAAAACAAACAAACAAACAAAAATCCCCACTTCACTCTTCTGTCTTTCGTGCTGCTCCAATTATTTTAGTGGCCTTGGGACCCATGGTCTGACATGCAGTATACCGTTTTGTCCAATCAGATCCGCCTGAAAACGTTCACTTTGATGAGTCGTCGGTCTGGTTAAAGGTCTCTGGTATCTGGACCCTGACAGAAACTCCTCTCCACTATCCCGCAGCTGCCCCAAGTCGGGGAGATCCTGCAGAACCAGTCCCTTCACAGGTGCCAGCAGGTCCTAGATGGGTAGATGCTATGGTGGGCCAACTCAAAGCCCTGATATTGCCCTGGGAGGTAGGTAACCTGGTCAGTATTGGTCCTCAAGCTGCCCTCTCGGGTGATCAGTGGAGCCAGCTCTCCTACACCAATTCCATCAGGGCCAGCTGTTGCATGTCTGTGTTGAGGGGTGGGGCCATCTCTCCTGAATGCAGGGACCAGTTCTCCATGTCTAGGCCACTGGGACCAGCTCGGCCATGAGTGTCAGGGTCAGTTCTCTTGCCACAGTGTCTAGCATGGTTCAGGGCCAACTTTGCCAGGGCTAGTGAAGGGCAGGGCTGGTTCAGCACGGCCCTTGGCTTTCATCACGCATGGCCTTCTATGGTAACATAGACCAGAGACATCAACACAAATCTCAGCTGCACCAGGACCACAGATCCAGACATGGCTTTCTGCATTGTCTCTGGCTCAGATGTCACCATGGCAGCTGTGGCAGCCTAGGTCATCTAGATCTGTATGGCCCCAGCAGCAGCATGGCTCTCCACCACACAATTGCACATCACAGTGACCCTCTCTGCCCATGAATGTCTTCAGCCGGTCCAGGCTGGCCTGTGGGCATTGTTCACCCACCTGGACTTTTTCTTTTTAAAAGAGGGGCAGAAAGGGGAATGTATCCAGATGGGAGGGTAAGTGGGGAGGAACTGGGAGGAGTAGGGGGAAGGGAAACCATAATCAGGATATGACAAAAAAAACTATTTTCATTATGAGGAAAAAAATGGTACAATCCCCCAAGTAAAATTCATTCAAACCATCAATATCGTCTGTACCAGCTTCTCCTTAGATTTCTTGTTTGCAGGATTACTTCTGAATCTCTTGCTCAAAGGATCAAGTGAACCTGAATCAAGGCTTATGTGACCCACTGTCTCCTAATCACCACATATTGGGAATATTCATCTATGCAAGCAACACTCATGACTTAGAAATGATACCCCATGAAACTAGACTTTGTCATTCTGTTTAAATGGAATTTCCTGAAAAGTGTACATCATAGCCTACAAAATACCAGAAAGCATGTGGAGGTTATGTTTTTATTGTTAACAAGAGTGTTCAATATTAGTTAAGCTTGGCAATGGGACCATGGGTCACCAATTAGCCACTTGGCTCCTGAACGAAGGATGATGCCATTCTAGGAAGAATCTTCTTCTATGTCTCTAAGTATAATGATGTCTTCAACTGGAGGTGTGTTTTCTACCGTACGAGTGTTTTCTTCTTCCTCTCTTTGGCTGTTCGTTTGGCAAACCACACCTAAAATCAGAGGGAGAGAAGATTGTTTTAGCATTGGCTTCCACTCTCAGAGCCAAGAGAAAAAAGTCACTTTAAGGCATCTAACATGGAACTTCCTACTCAGCTCACAAAAGCAAGCCCCAGCTGTGTGTCAACCTCTGCAAATAGGGCCATGATTTTGTCCTTTTCCCACAGTATAAACACTTCAGTAGGGACTTCCACCCATGGTAAATCTGACCAGCATATTCTTTCATGTTATACAAAGTTCTCCAGCATCAGGATGAAGAATACTATCTCTGCTTCAGTGAGACCTCCAGAATCCTGTCCTGCACAATATTAATCTTTGTGTTTTAAGTGTTGTTCTTCCATACCTATCATTCCTTACCTCCACTCAATCCTAATACAACTTTTGGTAATGTGTTTGGCTAGACACAACACTGAATGACAGAAAAATTAACATTAAGGGATGCCACTATGTATTACCATCGTCCCAAGATATGATCATTTTTTTCTTTATGCAGTGTAGTACTTTAACCTGATATTCCAGACACAAAACAGAAAGACGGGAACAATCAAAGAGTTAGAGGGGCAAGGAGTATTTCAGTAGGAGGCCAAGTGTCTGGCCAGCTGAGGGTCAAGAATTGCATCACCGTGAACAACATATGTTATGATGGTTGTCCACCTAGAGAGGATGACCCTTTTATGCAGGGTTGTTTCAATTTATGCCAAAATAGAGTTAATACAGCTCAGTTTGTCAGGTGCTGTAATCTCAGCACTTGGGGGACTGGAGGCAAAAGAACCCCGAGTTCTAGGACAGCAAGGGTTACATAGAGAAACCCTGTGCCAAAAATCAAACATTCAAAGAGGGAAAAATGAAATCCATTCATTTAAAAGTGCCTAGGTTAAGGCTAGCTAACCCTAAAGAAGGCTATAGATTGTCTGTCCAATTGTTGTGTTTGGATTCACTGACCTTCAGTTTGTCTTCAGGCACGTTCAGAGCTCTCGCAAGTTCTTCCCTGTGTAAAGACAACCACGGAAGTTTATCATTCTGCTTTACATGCAATACAATGTCATATATGAATTCTATACCTTTTACAATATCACTATCCTCTACCCTCACACTCGGTATTAACTTTCATTCTCAGAGGCAGTCTTACTTTTGATATGTCTTAATTTCCTGCAAAAGTTTCTAAATGATAGAGACAAATAATTTTAACAAACTTTCAAAAATTAAAAATAAATGTCAAACTCTATGCTGAGCAAAGAATGCTAATTTAAAAACAGCACTTGGGGCCGGGCAGTGGTGGCACAGGCCTTTAATCCCAGCACTCAGGAGGCAGAGGCAGGCAGATGTCTGTGAGTTCCAGGCCAGCTGGTCTACAAGAACTAGTTCCAGGATAGGCTCCAAAAGGTAAAGAGAAACCCTGTCTCGAAAAAACCAAAAAAGGAAAGAAAGAAAGAAAAAAGAAAGAAAGAAACAAAACAAACGAAAAGAAGAGAAAAGAAAAGAAAAGAAAAAAAGCACTGGGGAGGGGAAAGAGAACCCAAAAGAGTTGATGGTTAGGTACACTGTCCCTGAAAAGATGAGGAGATTACTGGTCGGGAGGTCACCAAACACAGTATAAACCCCTAGCACTCATGAACTTGATGCTAGTAAGTTGTTTGGGTCCACTAAACTCTGGTCTCTATATTTCACAGAAATTAAAATATGACTCGGAATGAGAGGTGTGGACTAGGGACACTTGCTTCACGTCAGCACTACATGTTGTTACTGAGCTCAGCCCCCACACAGGGCACCCTCCCATACCCACCACCAAAGGAGAAGACCCCTGTGACTTGGAGATGGGCGATAGGGAATATAGGGCCTTGAAGCGCAAAAGGACACCTTAACATGAGCCAGAGGCCAGGGAGGGTGGGGAGCTCTTGGTCCAAGCCACATACCTGGCAGCCAAATCTGGGTACTGGGATTTTTTAAAGACTTGTTCCATTTTCTGGATCTGGCGTCGTGTGAAATGGAAATGGTTTTGAGGACCCTGGTGCCTCTGAGGAATCCTTGCCACACCAGCCGCTGAGGTGTTCAGATCTTCTGGGTCAAGCTCCAAAGAACATTCCGGGTGGCCACTGCTTTCTCCCACATTGGCATCACTTTCCTCAGAGTCCCTCTCGCTATCCTGGCCCTGGATGCTGTCATAGAGTCTGATATATGGGAGACCTATGCAGCATCCACAATGGCCACCAACTGCTTCCTTGGCTGAGGCTGAGGAGGAGGCCACAACCCCGTCCTCATACACTATTTCATCCCCATAATCTTGCGTAGTATTAAGTTGAAACTCATAATAAAGCTTCTTGGCCATGACTCCAACTGTGAGCCACAGACAGACTGGGGCCCCGAAAATGAGTGACCTCGAGTTCTAGAATCTCGGCACTGCTACAGACAAAACAATGAGAGGACGGAGGAAAGGGTGACGTCAACGTGTCAATGCTCAGGTCCGAGCATGCTGCCCAGTTCTTCATGCTCGACGTCCAGGCGCTTGCTTGCATGCAGGAGCTGTTGAATTGTGCACCCTCCACTCACTGCTGCCTGACTGGTTGCGCTGGCCCTTCTGCCCACTTGCTGAGGTTGGTGCTGTCTGTTTTAGTGCACAAAGGATGGGTGTGGCCCAAACGAGGAGGACCTGAGGGAGACTGAACGGGGATGTGGAAACGTAGCATGGAGTTAAATCTTTCTCCTAGGCCATACTTCCAGAATGAGCTTTAATGCTTGTCTGCATGGTGCCCATTCCTTCTAGCTTGTAAGGAGGAGTTAACAGGTGGATTGTGTGGAAGTGCTAGATAATTTGGAATGGAGTATGGGAGAAAGGCACACACTGGACTCCAGGATCCTCGAGTGAACATGTAAGAATTTCTGTGACCCCCACCCACCACCCAGGACTAGCAGCTCAGAGAATGGGTTTAGAACCAAGTGGACATGATCAGCTTTAGAGGCCGCTAGTTCAGGAACGCCTGTTAGCATACTGAATGCTAGCCTGCCATTGCTTTTCAAGTACAACATCAAAATTTTTAGGACTGGGTTTGAATAGAATGCTAGCTAATGACACTTTCGAAAAGCAAGCAAATGGTACGCTCCTCCCAAAGAAAAATGATCTGCTTAGGAAGTAATTACATTGCCAGGCAATAGTGGCACACATTTAATCCCAGCACTCGGAAGCCTGAGGCAGGCAGATCTCTGTGAGTTCTAGGCAAGCCTAGTCTAAAAGAGCTAGTTACAGGACAGGCTCTAAAGCCACAGAGAAAACCTGTCTCGAAAAAACAAAGAAAAAAAGAGCTAGTTCCAGGACTTGTAGGACAGTAACACAGAAACCATGTCTCAAAAAGCCATAATAATAATAATAATGATAATAATTATGTCAGATTTTTAATAATTTCTGTTAAATTTTACGTGTAACATTTGCATCAGATCTTATCTCTGCGGTGTTGATGTGGTTCCTTACTCCTGTTGGACTGAAGGTAAATATATAAATATTCAGGCAACATTTAGAATAAGATTTGGCCTAGAACATACAGCATGTGACACATTTTCAACAAAAGAATAGGTGTCTGAGTTATCCAAGGTTGGATGTTGGGGAGGTTAAGTAACCCTTGTCCTGACAGATTCCCTAGGGTTTTCCTTGCTCTTGGAATTTTTGGAATCAGCACTTATATACATTAACACCATACACACAATATAGAAATAAAATGAATGGCTAAATCTGTTTACAGTTATTGAATAAGGAATCATTTAATTTTTCTTTCTCTTTTTTTAAGCATTAATAATCTTTATTGTAGAATAGTGCAGTACTTTATACAGGGGAAGAGGCTAAAACCTCTTTTTTTAAAAAGATTTATTTATTATTTATATAGCATTCTGCCTGCACACCAGAAGAGGGCATCAGATTTCATCATAGATGGTTGTGAGCCACCATGTGGTTGCTGGAATGGGACCTCTGGAAGAGCAGCCAGTGATCTCAACGTCTGAGCCATTTCTCTAGCCCACAGTTTCCCTTCCTTCCTCTCCTCTCATCCTCTCCCTTCCCCAACACCCATCTATCCCCCTTCCTTTCTACCTACTGCTCCTTGGTCTCCATCCAGAAAAGGGCGGGCCTCCCATGGACTTGAACATAGCAGGGCACTTCTAGTTGAGGGAGGACCATGCTCTTCCCCCTGCATAAAGGCTGGGTAAGCTAATCCAGCATGGGGACTAGGGTCCAAAATGTCAGCTAAGCACCAAGGACAGGTCCTGATCTCACAGCCAGGACCTTACAAACAGAGAAAGCTACACAATTGTCACACACATGCAGAGGGCCTAGGTCGGGTCCATGCCAGCTCCCTAACTGTTGGTCCAGAGCCCATGTGGTCCCACGAGCTTAGATCAGCTGTGCCTGTGGTTCTTCTGTCATGACCTTGACCCCTCTGGCTCATACAATCCCTCCCCCTTCCTCATGAGGACTCCCAGAACTCAGCCCAGTGCTTGGCTGCAGATGTCTTTGAATCATTTGATTTTATTTTCTCTTGGGAATCTCTGTGAATCATTAGATTTTTGAAAGAGCTTTCTTTAGAGTAAGTGCAAAGATGGAAGTCTTTAAATCGCTTACACAAAACTTTTGCTAAAAACACACAATGGGGGACTGGATAGATAGATGGTTCAGTGATAAAGAGCCCTTGCTGCTCTAGTAGAGGACCAGAGTTCGGCTCCCAGAGCCCACATAAGCTGTGTCACAACCACCTATAGCTCCAGCCCAAGGGCATTCAGTGTCCTCGCCAGGACACTGAAGACACTCACACACATGTACAAATACATACACATGAATACTCACACACATACACACACACACACAAAATTAAAAACTAAAATAAATCTACAAAATGAACTTAATCTTTAATTCTGAGCTGCAAAACTTTCAAGAACAGAGAAAACCCTAGATAATTTGTTAAGAAGAGGGATACTGATCCTTCCCCATTTCCCAAGGTGGTTAACTCAGGCACCAATTATTTTTCTGAAAACGTGTCATATGCCTTATTTTCATGTTTATATTAGTTGATGACTTGACTGTTTGTTGGTCTGGCAGTGTAGATGAAGAGACAGAGACCCCGAGTCTGCAGAATGTCAGTGCAGGAAGCTGGGGTCTTTCTGATGACATGGAGTCAAGGATGATACTTGACATTTGTACTTGGGCCTCTGAACAGTTTCCCCTCTCACTGACTACCAAGCACTTTCTAGGAGACCTCTGGATTATAACTTCAGAGGAAGAAGAGAGTAGACTGCTAAGAAAGAAGCAGCATAAGAAAAAGAAAATGGGATGGGCAGTGCCAGCTCTGTCTAGTAGGAAGCTAAATCCCAAAGCCTGAGCTCCCATATCTTGGGACCCTGGATGAAATGCTTCATTCACAGCTTCCATAACCATGAACGGGGATAACATCAATGGCACAGGACAGGGATACCGTCCAGGTTCATTAATTACTTGCAGAATTTTGGCATCTTTTACTTCGGCTTCACAAACCAGTGTACCAGCAACTATGGTTTCATTCCCCTGTAAAGAAAGTCCTCAAACCTCTTGATTTCTTCCACAAAGCCTAGTAACTCACCACCTAGGGTAGATTTTATATTAGCTTCTGTCTTCTGGCTTGGACCTTTTCTTCCTTGAACCTCCTTCCATTCAGCAGTGGTGGAGGATGGGCCTACGGATTCAGCCCTGTTGGTGCACCTTATTACACCTTATGATGTTTGTCCTTGGGTTGTGCTCTGGAGAGGCACTTAATAGTTGCAACTGAGTTTGGCGTCATAATTTTCATGTATATAATAAAACATGTAGTGGGCCACAAAAGCAACTGTACCAAGTGTGCCAAAGAGATGACTTTCTGGAAGAGTTCTGGCAGTGCTCATGAAATGGTCTTGACCCTTTTCAAAACTAAGTTGGTAATATACGTTAGGGTTTATGTCTGGGCTGGATGCTCTCTTCCATTTTTCTTAAAGTCTGTTCATGCCACTCCTATACTGTCATGCATGCCGTAGTATATCATACTTTAACTTTTAAAATCAGAAAGTGCAGGACTTCCAACTATGCTCAGTGTCAGCAATTCAAGGTCCCTTGAAATTTCAAAGGAATTTTAAGATACAAGCTATTCTCCCAGATATTCAAGAAGCCTGAAGCAAAAAGATTGCGTGTTCAAGACCCACCTTGGCAAGTAAAAATACAAAAAAAAAAGGGTGGAGGGGTGGAGGAGTAAAGGGAAAATCAATGATAGAGGAGGAGGAAAGGACAGAGGAGAAAAACAGGAGGAAGAAGAGAATGGGAAATAGAATTAATCTAAGTCATATTTTCCTGCTTTTTCCAAAGAATACCACGGAGTGTTGACAGGGATTTAATTGAATCTTTTGTTTGCTTTGAGGAGTATTACATCTTACCAATACTAAAGATTCTATTTCATGAGTACACATGCCATTCTGTTAATATGTGCCTTCTTTAATTTTTGTTCAGCAACAACTTTGAATTTATAATGTACAGATCTTTTTATTAATTTAATTATGTATATAGTGTTCTGTATTGCATGTATTCCTGCAGGTCAGAAGAGGGTACCAGATCTCACTTGAGATGATAGTGAGCCACCATGCGGTTGCTGGGAATTGAGTTCAGGACCTCTGGAAGAACAGCCAGTGCTCTTAACCTCTGAATCATCTTTCTAGCCCGCATATATAGGAGGAAGAGGAGTGAGCTGCTTATTTGTCCTAGCCACCCGGCTAGCTTAGCACTGAAATAATGACACAGAAACTGCATTAATTAAGACACTGCCTGGCCCATTAGCTCTAACTTCTTATTAGCTAACTCTTATATCAATTTTACCCATTTTTATTAATATGTATATCTCCACGTGGCAGTGACTTACCGGCAAAGATTTGCCATGTCTGACTCTGGCAGCAGTTCCATAGCGTCCCCCTGACTCTGCCCTTCTTCCTCCCAGCATTCAGTTCTGTCTTGCCCACCTACCTAAGTTCTGTCCTACCAACAGGCCAAGGCAGTTTCTTTATTTACTAATGTGCTTTCACAGCACAAAGAGGAGACTCCCACATCATGCATACAAGATTTTTTTATATCTTTGGTTAAGTCTATTACTAAATATTCTATTCTTGATTATGTTATTTTAAATAACACTGCTTTCTTAATTCCATTTTAATATAGATTTCTCATTGTTTCTATATCTCTTGTCACTAATATAGTAGGCCTTCACCAAATGTCTTCTGAATAAAGAAAAATGTTTTTAAAAACTCCCACCAAACACTGCAAATGGTACTTTTGATGAGAATACTTCTGTAAAGAGTGTCATTTCTCAAATGGTAAAGGCTTTCTCCATATTGTATTATTTTTCTTTACTATTAGCAGTCCAAGATAGCATTACTCATTCCTAGAACAAGCAGAGTCTTTCCGTCAGTATTTAAATATAAGTTATATGCACCTGTATTTATTTCTGTCTTTTGATAACATACCTGTTGTTAAAATATCAAAATATTTATTGATCATTTACCTCGGGATCTTAAGTGCCTCTATCCCAAGATTT